ATTCCTAGGTTTTATAGGGGTGCTAAATTATATCCCTATAATGGCGGGGGAACTACTTCTCCCATCGCCAAATGCCAGCTATTATCTCTTTCTTTTCCCTTTCCCCAACCTCAAAAAACAAACAAACAAAAAATCTGACAAGCCACTCAATCCGATAAACTGCAAGATTCCCCCTGTATGCCCCATGTTTGTGATATTTAATAAATGTGTGTGGGCAGCATGGATTATAAGGGCCTTTGTAAAGTAAGGGCATTTAGTTACTTTAAATCTCTGAAAGGAAATGTGAACCTCTGTACAAAGCAGTCCGTTCCATTTTCGTGTGCTCTAAAGATTAAAAAATGTGTCCTTATATTAAACCTACATCTGCCTGGGTCAAATTTCCTAGTCTTAATCTTGCCCTCTGGAGCTAACCTGTCCGTTTTATCTCTTTTCAGAGGCTATTTTCCTCAAATGTGACTATAGTTATCAGACTTATTTTAAGTCTTCTCTGCCCAGTTCCTACAAGCTTTCCTTCCATGACATGGATCCTGGAACCCCCCCCAACACTGAGCAACCATTCTCACAGCGTGTAACTATTTGGATGCTCTCGCAGTAGAATACACTTAAATACTGTCTTAGGGTAGTTTCCCAGGGAAGCAACCACTGAGCTCAAAGCTTGGTGCACGTAGTTGATTCGGGAGACAATCCCAGGAAGCTCAAGTAAAGACAGTGGTCTGTACTCTCTCAGGAGAAAAGCCAAAAAGGATGAGTTAATGAGCTGATTGCTGCTGTGGGCAGTGGGGCTTCCCTTCACTGGAGACCCCCTCTGAGAAACCATGGGAGATACACCTCAGAATCATTCCACCTGGTGTTGGGGAGACCGTGGAGTGCATCCACCTCCACTTACCCTCCACTGGCAGAGGGCTGCAGCAGGGGGCACGAATGCCCAGCACCTCCTCTTTGTGTCTTGCCGAAGAGTAAGTATAGCATAAAGGAGCTGGGAAAACCCTCAGGCAACAAAAGGGAGAGAGGCACAGGCTTCCGAGGTGGACAGCTGTGTGTCTTGGAAACTGCCTTTGTCAGTATCAGGGGAATTCGAGTGGCTGAGGGGAAATGGGGCAGGACATTGGGAAGGGCTGCTACTGACGCCAGGCTGGCAGTATAAACATGTGCATCTGGTCGGGTACAGAGCAACAGGAATATGGAGTCTGTGGAAACCGCCTGGAAGTGTCACGACTGAAAAAAAAATACATATCGCTGGGGTGCCTGGGTGGCTTAGGCGGTTCTGTGTCCGACTCTTGATTTCGGCTCTGGTCAAGGATCTCACAGTTGGTGAGTTAGAGCTCCACATCGGGCTCTACGCTGACAGTACAGAGCCTGATTGGGATTCTCTCTCCCTCTTTCTCTGCCCCTCCCCCACTCTCTCTTTCTCTCTCTCTAAGGATAAATAAATTTAAAAAAAGCCATACTAGTAATAATTTAGAGGCTACAATGGCCAAACAAAATATGTTGGCCAGGTTGCAGTGTTAGCCAGCTTGTAACCCTTGCAACAAGGAGCAGTTGGGATGGTGACAAATCTGAATGCATATCCTGTCTAAAAGAGGCAGCCATTCCTCAGGACTAGCCAATTGTTACCATTTAAGAATGTGGGCTGGACACTGTTAGATCTTTTGATACTTTCCTTGAGAATCCCGAGATCTAGATCTTATGGGAAATATTTTGATTTTTAAACACAGTACTAGCTGAGTTTGGGCCCCATGAAGTACATCTGGGGGTGTCCATCTCCCACACAATGTCTGCTCCAGTAGCAACAGCAAAATCAGAGCCTGGGCACTCAAGATCTCAAACGTGTACAAAGGGGCTCATTTGTGCATTTCTGGACAAACTGGTTTTGCTAATGCAAACTTCCTCCGTGGAAATCAAGGTTCTCCTAGAGCTGGAAACAAACACAAATATAAGAAACAGACAGACAAGAGAAAATGATTAAGGACATGCAGTGAGAGCAGAGGTTGAGCCTGTCTCTTTCACTAGGTACACTTCATTTCTATTGATCTGAATACTGTCTTTGGGATGGAGGGCTGGGGGGCAGGGACTCCAAAATAAGTAAGCATTCGCCCCCCAGCCCCCCCCCCCCACGGCAACTATAACCTAGGTTAAAGCAGCGTTGCTTTGCATCGGAAGAATTTAAGGTAGAGCTTTGATCTCCTCTCTATGAAAGTAAAGTAATACATTATCCTGACCTCAAAGAAGTAGTCTCAATTAGGGGCATTGAATGAAATAATTGACCTTGACATTACTTCAGCTCGGGGCACAAAGCTGTTATCAAAATGACTTATCGAGAAGTAAGACATGCTACAATAAGGACTATGTATTTAATAATTCTACATTTTGAATTTTAAGCTCCCAGAGTGCTTACCACCACAAGGGCAAATACTGGCTTTGCAGTGGCCAATAAGGAGAGTACATTGCATTAGAGCGAAATCTGTGCTGAGATCATGCGTTGGTAAAGGAAATAATCTTTGTTTAAACACTAATATTGTTAATATTTTCTACATACTTCATTTGCATCTTAATTTAGTTCTTTGATTATGAAATATCTCTTCTATGTGTTGCAGGGTATCTTTTTAAGTATCGACACCAAGATTGGAGGCAGAAACATGCAGGAAAAGCATGGGATTAAAAGGCAAGTGATTTCATTCTTGCCCTTACTCTGTGGTTGTCCATTGTGGCCTTGAAGAGTTTTTTCTGTGGCCATCTCTGCATTCCTTAAACCTTCATTGTCTTATAAGGTAGATATAATTATTGCCATACTTCTTAATTTGATCTTGTTTTTCCTACTTTTTACCTAAAGATCAAACTGTGATCAATTCTTCTTACCAAGGAAAACTCTGGGCAAAATGTAAAGATGGCACAATAATGTCTTTGTGGTTCCTAGGACTTTCTTTCTAGTTCCTTTTTCTCTCCCATGGCTCCTTCCTCCCTCTGGATTTCTTCATTCACCCCCACAAGACACTTTTTCACACCAATGAATTCTTACTCTCTCACCAAATGGGGTTCTCACACAAGATCTCCAACCAACCATTGAGCTAGTAGTGAGAAAGAGCTAATTGGTTGCTGCCCTTTGTTGCATTTGCACCTACTTCTGGTTGCAGAGTTAAGATTTTACTCCTTCATTTTGGAATTCAAGAAATAAGTATCCAAGTGGGAGCGATTTTAGGGTACTAGTTAAAGAATGATTTCTACTCTCCCTCCAGACTTTTAAAAGGAAATGGGTGTATACGTAGTATGGAAATCTGAGCCTCAATCTTGTACAGGTTATAGAGGCAGATTGTGTTAGGGCCAGGAAAAGAGCTCAGATCATCTGTGCATGTCAACTCCAGACAGCAAACATGTATTAGGTGACTACCTACTAGGCAAGGTGCTGGGGCACAGAACTGGATGCAACAGTATCCGCCCATTAGGAATTCACAAACCAGTGTAAGAGATGCTTTGAATGCATGGAATAGCAGAACAATGCAATGCTTAGACTGGTAGGCCCCAGTAGGACCTGGTAAGATGGGGTTTGGCACAGGCCAACAGACCCCACAGTGCTTTTTAACCCTTTTCAGACAGTGGCTGTCCATATAATCCAACCAGACCTTGCAGTATTTGTTTTCTTCTCCTTGTCTGCTTTCCCCTCCACCTCTCAGTTTCTTGCCCTTGGTGTTAAGTCACTATCATTGCTGTGGTATCTCCTTCCCCCAACACAGAGAGCACGGTCCTTATCTCTGGCTCGGACCTGAAAGTCCATCCTGGCCCTTTCCTGTATCCTTCAGACACCCGAAGGCATTCTCTGGTTGCGTATTTAGTCCTAGGTTTCTTTTGGGTTTACTTGACATGGTGCCTCTTGCCCCGATAATAAAGATGAAAAAAATCCTTTGAGAACCCAGAAATGAAAATATTTAATAGAAATCGAAGTTAGTGACATCTTCGTCAAGTATTCATATTTCCTCTGGTCTTAAAGAATAAGTTGGAGTTGACAGGAAAGGGGAGGAAGGCAGTTAGGCTGCATAAAAGCACGAAGGTGAGACAAGCTTGGTGCATTTGGAGAGGAATAAAAGGCTCCAAGAGAAAGTCATCTCTGCAGCTCCCTGACCTGTCATTGGTGTCTGTTTCATAGAGAAGAGTATTGATGCTCAATCAAAAAGCACAAGGTTTATCTCCTTAGGCTCCACAGTCTGCACTCTACCATATATACATGGAAATAACAGAAGGAAATTGCCTTGAGAAAAAATTTCAGAAGGGACCTTGCTATTGGGGGCTAATTTCATATCATTGATTATAATAGCTATAGCTATCGGTAGAAATAACTACATAACTATCTTTGGCCCAAAACCTTTCTGTTCTACCCAGCACATCCGTGCTCGCGCGCGCGCGCGCGCACACACACACACACACACACACACACACACACTCTCTCTCTCTCTCAACTAATCCTTCCAGCATTCCAAACCTTTGCCCCTCAATTTGCATTTGGTCTAGAGATTTTTCTGTTAACAATAGGTGGGGTCCATCTTTCTGATTTTAACTTCTTCCCACCAGGCGGTAGGGTAGAGATTTATCTTGACAAACTGTTTGGAATTGCTGGGGGGAATATTAATAAAATTTGAACATGCGTCCTACAGCAGTGAAGAGAATACCTGAGAAGTTTGAAAGCTTTGGTGGGAGATTAGAGGCGGCTGTGAGGAAATGTGCTACCCGGTGGTGAGCTCCCAGCACAGATATTTCACTATCCAGGGATCTCTAATTACTAATACAGTACATGAACAGTATGATATGTCCTTACAATTGCAGACGCCTTTTCAAAGATAATCTTTAATAGTTTATTTGACAACCTGTAAAATTATAGAAAATTATTAGTCTTGGGAATTACAAAAATCCCTGTAGTACAGTCAAACAATAAAATTATAATTACCTGTGGGTAATTGAAATTTAACTGTTTTTTTATTGTATATTACACATCAATAGCAACATAAGTTCAAGAGGTTTTTTTCTTCTTTCCTTTTTTCTTACAGAACCTGAGAAAATGGACAGCACTGTTGGGGGCTTGTGAGTTCCTGTCACAGTACTGAGCTTGAACAATTTCGATTAAAGCCCCATGTTTGAGACTGTCATTAGACCTGCATTAAATTACATATCTGGAGTGTTAAAAAATAAAGAGTACAGTAGCTTTTTCTCAGCTACCTAAGGTAGGTAGTTAAGGCCTTGATTATCTTTAAAGATCTATTTTTTTCCCTCCACTGAAAGCCATTGTTTCTTTCATTAAACATAAAACACATTTAAGAACACTAAACTGTGCAGACAGGAATATTAGGATGGCATATTCCAAAGTACCTTTGTTCTGTATTCATTGCTTTGAGTTGACTTCTGCATTGTATAATGTGATTTTATTATTTAGCTCTCATTCAGGTGAACTGAACAGAATTGGCATTGGTTGGTGCCTCTAATCCCTGGGCTTTGAATAAAGTGGGTAGTTGCCTTCCTCCTCTTCCTCATTCAACTTCCCCTTCCAACACCCCCCAAAAATAAATTTTTAGAAAGCTGCATATGCATTTTCAAACTGAAGCAAGGTGCTGGCATTTCTATTACTCCTCATCACTTCTCCTTTGAATGATGGCCTTTATGACAACATTTCCAGGCTCTACCCCTCTGGGTTCCTTTGTTTAAAGAAGTCTTTGGTTCTTTGGTTCCTCCAGCTGAATAGCAATTTAAATGAATGGAAAGAAAGTAATGGACCTATACCTGGGAAAAAAGGCCATAGGTAAAAAGATTGGTTCCTTTATACCCTTGGCCCCTCCTCCCTAGCTCCATGCCCCCACCCCTGTATCAGGGTCCTGCCATTTTCTCTCTGTAAACATCTCTGCCGTAAGGCCTGTGGGAAACCGTGAGCGTTCAGGGTAGTCCTTTGAAGCTTTTATACAGAAGTAGCAGCTTCAGGCCGAGTAGTCTGACCCAGTTCCTTCTCTGTGGTTTAGAGAGTAATGGGAATGCAAATCTTCTTGTATTGCACCAGGCACTGATTTTCACCTCTTTATCTGGATAGAAGGAAACAGAGTCAATGAATGTGCAAGGTTCCAGACTGATATTAGAAATTAAACAGTAGAGGGGTGGGCGCCTGGTGGGCTTAGTCAGTTAAGCATCTGACTTCTGTTCAGGTCATGATCTCAGGGTTTATGGGTTCAAGCCCTGTATTGGGCTCTATGCTGACAGCTCAGAGTCTGGAGCCTGCTTCAGATTCTGTGTCTCCCTCTCTTTCTGTGTCTCTCCTGCTTGTCCTTTGTCTACCTCTGTCTCAAAAATAAATAAACATTAAAAAAAAATTAAGAAATTAACCAGTAGGCTAGTGCCATCCTTTCTTCTGTAAGTGGTTTGACAGATCCAGTGTGGGAGAATAAGAGGCCGCTATCTTCCATGGTCACCAATGGGGAGCTCATGACACATGAGACAGAGGAAGGAGGGGCTACTTCATCCAAACTTCTGCCTTAATGATATTAAGTGAACTGAGAGAGAGAGAGGACGAAACACAATGAAGTTCAGAAACAGCAGCCTCAGCTCATTTCTTCTCAGACCCTTCTTCATTAATTCATTCACATAGAATTCACATGGATGAAGGCAGACGGTGAATGAGTGCTTTTGCATATGCACAGGCGTGCACTCGTGTGCATGCATGTACACGCACACACACACACACACATACACACACTCCTAGTATTTTAGATAGGATATCATAATGATTTCTCATTTGATAGCCTAAGACATACCTTCATCAATCTTAAGAACCAGTATTGAAAAGCAAACATACATAGAAACCATTTCTTTTGGGAAAAGAATCAGTTTTAGAATCAGTTTTATATGACTTAATGAGGGCCTTTAAAACATCAAATCTTCTTTTCTTTTTTTTTTTTTTTTCAACGTTTATTTATTTTTGGGACAGAGAGAGACAGAGCATGAACAGGGGAGGGGCAGAGAGAGAGGGAGACACAGAATCGAAACAGGCTCCAGGCTCTGAGCCATCAGCCCAGAGCCTGATGCGGGGCTCGAACTCACGGACCGTGAGATCGTGACCTGGCTGAAGTCGGACGCTTAACCGACTGCGCCACCCAGGCGCCCCTCAAATCTTATTTTCTATCCAAAGGTAGGTTAGACAATATGTATACCATCCTTAGCATTAAATCGACATAGCAGAGCGATGAAAAGCTGACATACTCCCCTCAAGTAGATGATAGTTCAAGGGGGAAAATGTCCCAATACGGATTGGGCTAAACTCAGTTTGGAGCCCCATGAATTCATGACTTTGTAAATGTCAGTTTGGTGCCATCTTTTAAAGCATAAACCAGCTCACATCTGGTGTCCTCATTCATCTTTTTTCTTTTCCCGCTGGAGCTTACGCTCCATGAGGAGAGGTACTTTGTCAGCCTCATCACTGTCATTTTCACAACCATCCACTACTCTCACACTTCGAATAAAATCCAGCCCTGCATGTGTAGCCACTGCCTGCCTCTCTGCCCTTGTCACCCTCCACTTCCCTCTAGCCACCAAGCCCCTTGGTATTCATGAATGCACCAGCTTCTGCCCACTTTGCTTTTTAAAATTTTCATTCTTCTCACCTCCCCCGACAGGTCTTCCTGACTACCCTTCCAAAATTTGCATCCCTCCAAACCTGGCATGCTGCTTCCCCTTAGTCTGCTTTGTTTTCCTTCACAGTATGTATCACCATCTATAAAAAGTTTTTAGCAGTGATAGTAATTCAGTAATATTCAGAATGGGTAGAACTTTGGCAGGTGAAGAACATCCCAGAATAGGAATGGGTATAGACATCAAAGTTACCTACTGGGGTTCTTAGGGCCGTTAACAGACATAGAGACAGCAGGACAGGTGTGTATAGAGATAAATAGCTAATCATTGATGAATTGTCTTGATTTGTATATAGAAATTTGTCATTTCTTATTTGTAAAATGGAACTAGGTGATCTAAGCAGAGTTAAACACTCTGCATTGGGTCCAACAGTTCAGTATTACGTTGGGGAGATAAATGTAGAAACTATCAAATCCATAATAAGGTAAAACCTGGTTTCCACCAATTTAATCTCTATTAAAAGCCTCATAAACCACATTTTGGTAAAAAGGACTAATATCTAGCTCACAGCTATGCCCAGCTTCTAACTCAATTGGCATATGTTTCTTCATATTCCTCTTTAAAAAGTCAATGGTTTATGAAATTATCCAAATACCTGAATCCTTCCCTAACCAGAAAAAGTCACTAAATGCAAAAGAATTTAAATTGCACACAGTCCATAATCCCCGCAGGCTTTTTTCCCCCAAGTGCAAGCTTTAGTTTCAAGCAAAGAAACACATGTAAAGCTCAGTAAATTTTGGGTCGGTGGCTCTATGATTTTGATTCAATGCCCTGATTTTAACCCAAGCTATTGAAATAGCCAGCTGCTATTTTTCCCACCCTGTCCCTTGACTGTATCAATTCCTCTTTCCACTTCAGGAGGAGTGAAGATGGAAGGCTTTTCTTCAGCAGAGTCTCACTCAGCTGAACCCCCATTTGTGGAGTCTTGTGAGAGGAAAGCCCTGTGGAGTCCTAGAGGGGTGGGTGCCTCTAAGACAATGCTTCTAGAAAGGCATTCCTTTCCTAGAGTCACTTCAGAATGCTTACTGTGCTCAAGCTGCAGGCCTCGAAGCTAACACAGTGGTCGGAGGGTCAAAGGTCACTTGCAGTCCCAGTGGATCTCTCAGTGTAGACAGTATCCTTTGCTCAATTCAGTTGAAAGCTCTTTGATCAAATCTTATCTTTGGGAAGGTTTGAAAGGTGTGGAAAGCAAGAAAGTCCCAACCTTGGGCTTTCCAGAAGAATCTCATCTCTTGCTGTTGACTTTTAAATGGCTGTCTTCTTCCAATACCCCCAGGCCATTTGGGAGCCTCTACAAGGTTTTCACAACACGTATCATGTAGAGATCAATGTGGCTCCCTCAGCATCCACAGCCTATGGGTAGCAAACTCCTTTAGATTCAAGATTATGGAGGGAATGGATTTCTCTCAAGTCTGAAGGGGACCTCACACTGCTCTAAATTTCATTTGTTTTGTAAGCCTCCCTGACTAACACCAGAGGCCTGGTTGACAGAGTCTTTTCACATCCGTTCCAACTCTGGGAGTCCAGGTTTTTGCTCAGGCCCAGATAATTCTTGTAGTGAAAAAGTGAAACTTCTGTTCTAGCTAATTCAGTCTTCGGCACATTTGCTACTGTTTTTTAGAAGCCAGAGGCGATTTACAAGGGAACTTGCAAAGCCATTTTGCCTGAACAAATTCTCCATCTGGTGATTCACTGAACATGATCTCTTATTTCTTAAAGGAAGAAATGAGAAATGGACTTAGAAGGCCTCATGTTGATATTTACCTGCCAAGACATCTTAACTCCGCTGACTCTCCAGACAGACCCATTTGTAAATTTACATTTAAAAACAATCTTTCCACATAATTTCCCACCATTCCTTTGCTTCTGTCTTAGGTGAGTGAAGCTGCAAGTTGAGGCCCTGTCCACATATAAATACTGGAAGAGCTGAAATCCAGGGAAACTGCTGAAAAAAAAAATTGACAACAACAACAAAAGACTTTATTTTTTATTGCACAAGGCCCACATATGACTTTGAATATTTTTTAGTCTGTTGTTTGGTGACGCCTAAGAAGAGTCCTGCTGCCCCTGTTCCTCACCTTGCCTCCCGTGGAAAGGGAATGATGTGCACAGACTCTTGTTATGCAAAGGGAAAAAACAAGGTATTTTCTCCTGGAGGGATGACTGTGGTCTCACACAGGTTCTGCTGTTTCTTCTGGGATGCTCTCAATTCCCCAAACCGCCTCTGACCCCAAGCTCCAGCCCTTTGCCTTCTCCTCCTCCTGGTTGCTGGGTCATCCTTGATGGTCTACGGTGTCCCTGCAAACTTTGCTATGACCCCGTTGATCTCTGTGTCTCCTGATTTCCTAGAGCCAGGTGTGCCTTCCCACTTGAGGACCTGCTTTTTCTCATGAACTGTATCCCTCCTGCCTCTGCCCTTTCCACCTCTAGAGGTAACGTCTCCCCATCAGGTTGGTTAGCTTTCTAGCCAGCTTGTGCCTAGGAAAAGAGACTGTGTTTGGCTCCTTCCCCTGCCCCCAGTGCTGCTTCTTGAAGGCCACATACTGCTTCTCATTCAGCTCATTTTCTTTGTGTTCCTGCGACCCTTGTTGCTGTTTGACTTTGGATCTTGCCTTCTTTTTATAGTCCTCTACCGTTAACACTGGAGGACAGAATCTGGGCCAGATATATGTAGAAAGAGAGCTAGGAAAAAGAGAAGAGGAACTGACTGAGCCAAGAAGGAGTAAGAGGTTCACAGGACACAGGGAAATGGAAACATTGCACATCATCTTATATAAGGAAACAAACCAAGACATGCACTCATTCGCTCATAAATGTATACATTCATTCATCAACTTAACACTTGTCTGTAACAAATACTGTACCTCTGAGTTGTCTGTTTTACAAAATTGCTCAAGATTATTTCTTCTCTCTGTGCAGGAATTTTAGACTTACACGACCGTCCTCCAACACAAATGTGAAATGACCATTCTCTAAGCTGGAGACACTTGTCTCCCTTTTGCTCAGTGTCAGGAAAAACACAAGGCCCTGATCTGCAGCACAGCTTGACGAATTTGAAGCTTTTGCCCAGGCTCTCATATAATACTCATCCATTCATTTATTCATTCAGTCAAACTTTTAACTGATATTTTTTGAGCAAGAACCTAGTATGTGCCAATTATTATTCTTACACTCCGGAAGTGGCAATGAATAAAACAAAGTCTCTGGTCTCATGCAAGTTACTTATTAGAGGAGTAGGTTGAAGGGAGACATACATATACTTTCAAGTGTTGATGAGTTCTGTGAAGAAAAATCAGGTGGGCAAAGGGATAGAAAGTCCTGAGGAAAAAAGTTGCATCATTAAACCGCGTGGCAGGAAAAGGCTCCACCAATATAATAAGTTGTAACATGAAAGGATAAAATGTGGGAGTAAGCCATATGGATTTCTAGAAGAGAGCCTTAGATAATGGGAGCAGGAAATCAATAATCCTCAACCAGAAGACTGGTTGGTTTATTCAGAAAATAGCAAAAGCTGGAGTTATCTAGTAGGCCCATCTCTTATGAGCACCCACAAACCTTGTGTTTTTCCAAAAAAATAATATCCACTTCGTTATGATCACCTGTTTAGTGCTTATCCTTTCCCTGTAGGCTACGCATAACCTGAAGCAGGAAATCGACGGCTTGGATTACTCCCACATCCTACTGCTTGCTCAATATCTGGTACATCGGAGGTGTACCATAAATAGTAATCAAATGAATGAGTGGATGTCTGAATAAATTGCCCTATAAAATGAGATAATGCACATAAATCTTTTAGCTCAGTACCAGACATACACTCCACATTTAATGTATTTCAGGGACAATATGTTGCTGCTGATGCAGGTGATGCTGATACAACCCAGCAGAAGATCAACTTCTTCCTGAAGATGGAGCGACTACTCCTGGTCCGTGGTAGGTCTTTATAGCAAGAAGGCCTCTTTAACTGCTTCTTGTTGAAATGTATCCATTTGGTGTGTGCCCTGTGAAACTGCAAAGCGATAGCAGCAGCAAATGCATCTATAATGGCATAAACATGTAACAGCATCCAACTATACAGTCAATAGCAAGAAGGCAGCTCTTAATTCAGCTCTTAATTTGCTCTGGCCTTCCAAACAAGGAAGAAGGTCTTCAGAGAGAAAACACTTAAATCATGTAAAATGAAGATTGTCATCCAAATGAGGGATTAGTGAAAAGGAACAGAGCTACTAGAAGTAAGTTCCATATTACAGGCCCACATACAGAATCAATAGATGTTCTTTCAAAGAGCCAACCCTCACAACTTTTGAAGCATCACATACAACAAAGGAAGTCTCAATTTGAAACAAAGGAGGATTATGGATCTCAGAAACTGAGAAAAGGTGACATTGTCATAGAGCCATGAAATTCTGGGTTTGACAGTAAACAAATCAACTCGTGATGATTACACAGCAAATATGTGGGATATTATAGCTGGTAAGTGTTGTAGAGGTTATTTCACAAAGCATCTTCATCCTTTATTTCATAGATAAGGGAACCCCTGTTTGGGGCTGCCATGTCTCTCCCAAACTTTTGTTACCAGTGGAGCTTAGAACGTAGACCATCTGTCACAGAGGTAAGTGTTTCTTGAATTAATCTCCATAATTCCATTACTGGTCTCTCTGCTCACATTATTGCCCTTCTATAGTCTATTCTATACATAATACCAAAACGATCTTTTAAACCTGAATTCAGATCATTTGACTATGCCTAATAAACTTTCTAGTGGTTTGTTATCACAATTAAAATTCAAATTTCTTATAATAGTGTAGAGTACTTCTCTAGCATACAATGTTGCCTGGCACGTAGTAGTCACTAATGAACGAATGGACTTCTTTTTCCCCCAAATAATAGTATAAAACTGTCCAGTCATAATAAACCTGCATAAATAGATTGATTTAAATAAAATATTCAATGGTATTTCCTCTAAAATTAATGTACATAATGAAATTCAAGCAGAGTAAAAGTTGGGTTAACAGAATTCAATAATCGGCCCCAGATAATTTATTTTAGTCTCCATTACCTAGTGGATGACCACGCATTCTGTCTGGCCCAGCCTCATTAGGCCTGTTTACCAATGATTTTGATGACAAATGGAAAGGAAATTTATGAAATCTGAAAGCACAAAGTTGGAAAGGATAATAAATAGAACAATCGACGTTCAAAAATGTTCTGACAGGCTGGAATTCTGAGCAAATTCCAATAAGATGAAATTTAATAGCAATAAATGCAATGTCCTGTATAAAAGTTCAAATATTAATTGTATAAGTACAGGATGGAGAAACTTGGTTTGGCAGAAATTCATGTGAAAAAGATCCGCAGGATTTAGCTGACCACAACTTTAATAAGACCCATCAGTCTGAGGCAGATGCCTTTAAAAGGTCCCATTCGTAAGTTGCATTAGTAGAAGCCCTTTTTCTAAATTACAACCAGTAATCGTTTTTCTACACTGTAGCTCAAACCACATCCGGCATATTTTGTTCAGTTCTGGGCGCCATATTTTAATGGGGACACTTAATCCAGAGGGGGGCGGAAAACAGGGTAGAGAAAGTCTGAAAACCAAGTCATGGTTGAAAGAATTGAAATCCCAGATCATGCCAGTATTTTAAGTTCTACAAGATACCAGAAGAGCTTCATTTTTGCTGTACTCTAAATCAGAATACGAAACAATGGCTTTAAGTGGGCAATCAATATACTGTTGCTGACAGACAATTTTGAATCCATGAATAAGTGACGTAAAGAAGGAAGGGAACTTTCATTGAACGTGGAAGAAAAGTATGTGTACCTGGAGTTTTACAATAAAATCGCCACTTGTGTAAGTTGGAATACATAAACTATTTGCCACTGGAGATTTCCAAGGCAATAGAGGAGCCAACAACTGTACCTCATCAGTTAAAAACACTGAGTGATCGCATAGGCTCTGCGTTTAGGACCTCCAAACCAAGCACACAGTTCTTCCCCACCTCCGTAACTGTCCAGAGTGGTCAACTCAAGAGCCCCTTTCAGCTCCACAGTCCATAATTTGCTGTGTATGGAAATTGTTGCCTTGAAATTGAAATCATTTCCTAAGAAACTTGACTTATTACTCCCAAATAAAAAGTCAGATGCTATTCTGGAGCCTGCAGAAAAGAAAAAGAAAACTTTGTCTCTTTTGGCAATGATACATAAAACTTAGCAACCCAAATAAAGACCAACTATGGTAATTCCTGACCAACTATGCCCACCAGGACTCATCAGAGAAGATAGAAATGCTCATCTCTCAGTCTGTCCTGAAAGAAATCTGTTTACCTAACACCTCATAGTTCTTTCATTGCTTATGGAGTTGCTAACGACCCACAGTATTATATCATACAATAAATAATGGAACTACATTTATTTTTCCTAATCTTAAATATCTTTTATTTATATCTTTTCCTTTGAATATGTGTTTCTGTTGATTTTTGTTATTTAAAATCCTGTGATAGTTCTCCTTTGATAGGTTTAATTGAATTAGAGATGATCTGACATTGAACTATCCTTGAATTATTTTAACAAACCATTTGTCTTTAGAAAAAAAAAAACATTTATATTAGGGGAAGTAGGGGGTGCCTGGGTGGTTCTGTCGGTTAAGCATCTGACTTTGGCTCGGGTCATGATCTCATGGTTCATGAGTTTGAGTCCCACTGTGGGCTCTGTGCTCAGGGTATGGAGCCTGCTTCAGATTCTTTCTCCCTCTCTTTCTGCCCCTCTCCCTCTGGTGCTAACTCTCTCTTCCTCTGTCTCTGTCTCTGTCTCTGTCTCTGTCTCTGTCTGTCTCTCTCTCAAATAAACTTTAAAAAAAATAAATAATATGCTTATTTTTAATCCACTATTAGAAAAAGTTAGCAATTTATGAGTATTAAATTTATTAGTGTTTTTTTTATTTCTCATCTATGTGTAAAAGTAGAGTGTATTTTTATAATGATAATATTTGATTATTAATATTTTCCTAATCCAATGAATGAGTTGTTTGGATTTCTCTTTTTTTCTGTGTTCTGAAACAGTGTTTACACAGAGAAATAATGTATTTCTTGTAAGTTGTTCTGGAGAACAACTAAATGTTGTTACTTCAAAACTATAAATATCTGCTCAATAAAATACACCACAGAGTGAAGTAATAACCTAAAGATAAGGAAGATCCTACAAAATGGAACAAATGTTTTGACCATATAAAGGACTTATTAGAATTAATAATAAAAAAGAAAGAGATCACCCAATTGTGAGAGAAAAAAGGAATAAATATGAACACACAATTTTCAGAAGGGTAAAAGTGAATGGTAGTAACTAAAGGATATGATGTTCAGATTCATTAATAATTAGATCATTGACAGAATAAGAAAGCAATATCCCTTAATACCCATGACATTGACAAAAATTATAGAGCTGGATAATGCCAAATATGAGTGGAGTTGGAGATAAGAAGGCCTCTTGTACTCTTGATGGTGGTGAAACTATTATATAATGTCTCAGAGAGACATCTGGCAGTATTTTGTCACAGAGTATTCACATGCCTATGATCCAGTGATGCAATACAGTGAAATTCCAGAATGGGACATGTTCTGTGATGTTTACTCTAGATTTATGTGTGATTGTGCAAATGGAACACTGGTTATATACTAAGGAGGTAGATATGAAAAATGTAGTAGATTCACACTATGGAATTCCATGCAATGATTGGAAACAACCAAGTGGACAGATACAAACATGGGAACGTGGATGGATCTCTAAAACACCGAGAGGAAAGAAAATTATAAGGTAAAATTGAGGCTATAACACAATGTCACTCGTGTAATCAAAAAAATACATGCACACAAAATACCATATACACTTTCTATGTTAAGTTCAATTTTAATCATATATATTAATTATATTGGGGTGGTTGCTATGAGAGTAAAGATAAAAGGAATAATGAGAATAAAGATGAATACATACTTCACCTCCTCTTACACGCACACACACACTTTCAAAAAATAAGAAGAAGCCTCACATCAACATATAAGAGAGTGCCATGAACTAAGAAATATGATTAATCAAACCTTCTGCACTTGAGATAAAACAAAACAAAAACTACAACAGTGTCTCTTAGAACTCAAGAGACTTCAAGAAGCTGGAAATGGAGAATTGTCAGAAATTCGGGAGAGAGGGTTCCCTCATGCACATGTCTCCTTGTCTCTGTGCGTTAGCCTTGCTCTTCTCTCTGTGTAGATGCACTGTTTTTATTTTCAGCACGCATGGCCAGAATTGCATTTTGTGTCTCTCCCACATATTTACGTTGCCTCCTTTCAAAAGACCAGCCTAGGTGGACTTTTGGGGGTGGGTGGGAAAGCATGTAATTCACAAGTAAAATTAATGAATATGGTAGATCACACATTTTTGTTATTATAAAACATAAAACTGCATCTAATGTAAAAAGTGCATCATCTGTCTTTGATGAGAAATAAATTGACAGTTTCCAAAGAGGAATTCCAGTTATCAATTTATTCAAATATATCCATAAGCTCCTGAAAGAAAGCTTTTGAAAATCATGTTTCTTTAGTTATAAAAATTTTATACTTCATTTCTTCTTCCTTCCTCCATTACTTTCTTCCCTCCATTTTTATTCCTTTCTCGCCTTTTATCATTTGCTCTATCTTTTCTCCTTTACCTTCCTTTCCTTCTCTTCCTTTTTTTTCACTTCCTTTTCCTCCTCTATCTCTGTCTCTATCTCTATGTTTCTATATTTGCTCTTCCTCTCTCTCTCTCTCTCTCTCTCTCTCTCTCTCTCTCTCTCTCTCTCTTCCCCCTCCCTCCCTCTCTTCCTCCCTCTCTCTCCTTTGTCCATAGTGTCAATACCAAAAAGGTTCAAAAAAGGAGTTGAGTGATTGGATCACATAGTCTACTAATTGACTTTTAGGGAAAGGGAGTTTTCCAAATGAAAATGTTGTCTTTAGTAACATGATACAGTACTTCCACGAAGCTTTTACATAGGCTTTCCTTTGAATGCAATACCACCAAATTTGATAGATTTTGGTTCTGTCTTCTGAAAATTTACAACATATCCTGATATCTAAAAATCCACATCTCTGTTAGCCAGAGAAGACTAAACAAATAATTATCAACCAGTGTTTCTTACTCTCCTGATTTGGAATAGAAGTTTTGAGCTAGGCATGACATTCAAGTAGAAATATGAGCCAGCAAGGTTGCCACAGTGCTTATAATTTCACTGCCCTCCTCAATGATGAAATGAACAGAGATACTAGAATTGGAAGCATGATGTTTCCTGGCTATGTGTTGCATCGATCTCACTTCATTGAGTACTTCAAGCAAGGAAGTCTTGTGGAGTGTGGAAATAATAGAGACATATGATGAGCACTTTAAAATTCAGAAAGCCATTCAAAAACACCCACCATGTAATTAAGCTGTTTATTTTTATTTTCAGTCTATTAGAATTGGTAGAATATTTTCACTTTAGCACCAGCGTGTCAGTGGGACCACAGGGTAGGGTGAGAGGGTGTTTATAGCCACCAGCATAATGTCTGAAAAGGATTTACTTTCTCCCCTACCCACTCCACATCCATG